AGTATTTCAGTAGTTCAAGTTTGGTCACTCTCCGTTAGTCTCCGTTAGTTTTTGCTGATGTGGCAGTCAACTATTATAGTTGACCGTTAAATGAGTGTCGTGACCATTAAAAAAATAATAAAATATAAATATTTACAATTGATGCAATTGGGAGGGTGAAGTACACGACCATGTAATTTTGATCCTGTAATTTTTTCTGCTTGGCTAATAATTGTAATCTTATAATAGTGTTATTTTTTCTGCTCCGAGTTTCACAGAGCAATTTCCTTCCCGCGACCAACCCTAGTAGTGATGACAGTTAATGAGTGAAGTCGTGTCGGGTGTTCATCCCTGGGCCCTACAACCCTCTGACTGCAACGGAAATCGATGTTGGCCCAAACCCCTGGCGGACGAGATGGTGGAGGATCCTAAGCTTCTCGGAGACAGGGACTCTCCATAACGTCCAACCAATCCGAAACTTGCTTCCCCGTCGGCTTGGGGGTCAAGGGTAAAAAAACTTTTCGCGGAGATTCTGACCGACTCCTCTTAGTATGTTGTTGTATCCGACTCTGAAGATGTGGCAGATGCGATGAGAGAGGATGATATGGACAATGAAGTTTCGTAGGATGACGACCTTAGGTGTCCCATGATTCCCTTCACGTCAAGGGAAAATTACCGGCTTCAATGGAGGTCGACCTTGATCATGAAGGCTTTGGGGCGGACCTTCCCCTTTCCTGTGATACCTAAACGTCTCCAAGCTCTGTGGGCAAAGGATGGTGTGCTAGTGCTACAAATATCGAGCATGTCTTATGGATATTATGTTGTGTGTTTTACTCACCAAATGGATTATGAACAAGGTGCGCTTGGTGGTCCATGGCGGATTGGGGAGCACTATATCACGATCTGATACTGTGGTCCATGGCTTCAACCCTAATTTTGATGAGGTGACTAAGACGCTAGTGTGGGCAAGACATCCCGAACTGCGCGCCATTTGAGTTTGTGAATCGAGAAGTAGTGGAACGTAATGCCTCTTAAATCGGTCAACTAGTGAAAGTGGATTGCGCTACTATGACGGGCGATCGGGTAAAGTATGTTCGTGTTTGTGTGGAGGTGGATCTCACCAAACCACTGTTATCCCAGTTTAAGATAAGAAGGTAGAACCCACTACATTTACCTTCAAGGGACTGCATAACATTTGCACCAAATGTGGAAAGTATGGCTATTCGGTCAAGATGTGTCCTTCACTTCGGGCAGAAGCCCCAGAAGTCCCTAGCTCGGAGAGGTCTACACCGATGGCGACTGGGGAACTGCATAAGTTGTATGGTGAATGGGTGATGGTGAAGCCGCAAACTAACAAATCTACTGCGACTCTAATAAGGAGATTCTCGATGATTTGAACATCTCATAGCAATTGCTTTAGTCCTTTATCTTTGATGCTAGCATTGATGATCCTAGAAGGTTCTTAGTTGATCTGGCATCTTGCATCGAGAAAATCGGGAGCTTGCTTCATTTCCTTTATATTTGGGTAGTCTACATACATCACCCTCAGTAGCTTCACATCTTCTCGATCCATTCCCTTGCTATTTCAGTTGACATGAATCCTTTATTCATAGTAACGTAGTGGTGTAGGATTTATGTCGCTTGCCTCGACCTTCGATGCTTTTGGCCAAACGTACACGAGTAGAGATAAGAGGCCCATCTTTCTTCTGAGTGATGCTCCATCTTTTTGGTATCACGTCCTTGTATGGGTTATTATGGATTCCTCGAGTTCGAATCCTACAAAATAAAACCAACTAGAGCATAATATTTTCTCTTTTTATAAAAACAAAACAAAATCACGAAGTTAGTTTTTTCAATTACTATAAAATATCTCCGACAACGGTGCGAAAACTTGATGATCGCAGTATTCTGCAATGCAAGTAATAAAATCTTAGATAAACTAGGGTTGTATTGTGGTCTTTTCATAGTAACTACTCAATCCTGACCACCTATGTTCAGTAAAACAATACAAGAAAAGTAACTGAAGTGGATTGAGGCGCCCTTGGTCGAAATCCTTACCTACTAAACAAGAATGAAACGAAAAGCTATGCAAAACAAGAAAGCAAACTAAGTAAAAGGATTTTTTGGGTAGTTATATCTAGATGACCATGCATACTAACTCATTAATGGGATGCTTCTATGCATTATCTATTATGATGCCTTATCCCTTCCATTAAAACCATCATACTCGAGCTTTTGCCATATGCAATTGGAGCTTGACTAGCTAATGCATGCTTTCGTTTCATGTCATCACCTAATCAATGAAGAAAAATGAAGTTATGATATCATATGATTAAGTGTGGGCCTGCGAATAGTCTATAGCATCTATGATCAACGAATCAAGCATTGATCTCATGTAAGCATGCATAGATGCGTCCAACTAAACAAGTATATACAAGGAAATGGGATATCACAAGAGGATAATTTCTTAACAATCTCAATGATATTAAGCACAATGACTATAGTAATTCATAATATAATCACAAGCATCGATGATCTAAAGCGTACAAAGACAATAACATCGAATGAATAAGTGAAAGATGATACAATAGGTATCGTCGTTAAATAATTGAAAGTAGTACATAAAGCATCATAGAGTTACATCCCTAAAACATTTTGAGCCGGCTATGCATAGGATAATAGGAAGACATCATTAATGATACATGCATCGAGGGTGAAGACTCCGCGCCGAATTTCAGCAAGGTTTCGCTTCCTCTTTGTGGATTTCTATCTCGTGCCCCTGGGGACAGAATGCTGGTAAATGGTATGTGTGAAAGCTTTAGTCTAAGATCTTATTTATACTAGTTATGTAAGGAGGTGTTCTAGTCCTTCTCCGTAAAAATTTGATAAAATCCTTCCTTGTACGACTTGAATTCGGATTGCTTCGATTTGTGGACGAAGTAACCTTGAAAAGGAGGTTTCTGGAGCTTGGCTTGAGTGGTGGGTAGGGCAGTCACTTGTTTCTTTGTTGGGCTAGGTTTCTTGGTACACATGAAACTCCTCCAAGTTTGGGAGTGTTTTTGACTTGTAGAGCTCTGTTTGGACCTTGATCAAAGTTGGGGTATGTTTCACTACCAGATTTTCTTGTTTTGGCCATAAAGTGAGCATCCGATGTCCAAATCCATCTCCATTTAATCTCGTGAGCTTGTAATATTGTCCTCCTTCTTATCCATTGGGTCCATTGGCCAGCAATATTCGTCTTGAGTGCATTATATTCTTGAAAGACACAAAATAACAATAAAGATATAAAATTGTACAAAATCACACTCAAGGTCTATTATAAACTCATTATTCAAATAGTTACGAATTTATTCTAAAATAAAGGTATATGTTTAATTACTTTTTTTGTGTAAATATGTTTAATTACTTTGATTACATAAAATTTAGTAAGCTTCATCATACATCATACGGACATGTTAACCTTCTATAAAAAGTTAGGAATGAAAATAGAAGTTTTGAACGAATATTGAAACAACACCTCTTGAAACAAACACTGAATCATCCCTCTTGCCTTTAATTTTTCCCGGCAAGTCAACTCGTTTCAGAGTTTGATAGCACATAGAGTATGAGAAATTTTACAATGCTATATAGTATTGGTGCTATAGGTTTTTGCTTTTATGGTACAACTTAAAATTGTACATTTACGTTATGGTACAACTTCAGATTGTACCTATACTTTTGGGACAAATTCTTTTATGGTACAACTTGAGCTTGTGCCTTTATGTGATGGTACAACTTCAAGTTGTAAAGTTGTACCATAACATAATGATACAAATTGCTTTATGATACAACCTAAACTTATACATTTAATGTTAAGGTACAACTTTAAATTGTACATTAAAGCACCAATGCTATATAACATAATATAGAAGTGCTCCATAGAGTATACCCAAAGATATACTGCTCATGTTGTGTCCTTTTTGTTCAACTTTTTTGTCCAGTGGATGGCATATCCTTATTGGTTCTAAAGAAAAGGTTAAAATAATTCATATAATATTAACTTGTAAATTGTAATGGTTGCCCCAATCCCTTAACCAAAGACCGTGAATGTTAGGGGTTGTTTGGAGGTTGGGATTCTCCAATTTGAAGTATATAATTAATTTGTGTATTGTAATTTGATATATTTGATGAAATGTATGAATTTGAAAAATAATTTATTTGGAGGTTTAGATTGTACTTTATTATAAATAAAATAAATTAGAGGTAGAAAATCCATTGGTCACAATTTCACATTTTGGTGGAGATTGATAATCACTCATTTTGAGTGATTGTAGGTGGGTCAAAAAAAGGTAATACATGTATTCTATCACAAATTCAACCAAAAAATGACTTAATCTTGACATTACATACATTTGCTAAATACATCACTTAAAATCCCAACCTCCATACAACCCCTATTGAATTCTAGTATGCTCCATATTCAGTAGTTCTAGATAGGGCGATATGATTATTATCCCAACTTTATAGTGCAAAAAAGGACTTGCTCTAGTGGTGCTATTGTCGATTTTCAACATGTAGGTCTTACGTTCGAATCTCATAGTGGACTCTCCTTCCTTGCAGACCCCATATGAAGATCCCTGCTAAACATCCATGGATGAATGGTTAAAAGAGCCCAACTCATAATTGCCGACTTAGAATTTCCAAAAAAGATTGTAGTACACTTGTAGAGGAAATACGACATTCGTAACAAGTTATTTCTCAACAATCAATTCTCCATCCCCCTTTTCGGCGGAACAAGCTTTTCTCTTTTGTTATTGGGCTAATCTACTCCACGAGGGCGACCCGTGAAAATACATCGGTTTCTTACTCGTGCAAAGGAACTCTTTCTTGGCAACTTTTACAACTTATAACGATGTTTGTCCCGCATATCACTAGAAAGATCGGGATCCTTACAAAAGGCTTTAGATTGCTTTCGTCTCAATTCATATTTAGCCGCGAGCAATCCACGTTTGTGATCTCGTATATCTCGCTTCTCCGACATCTTACTTACTTTCCCCCTCATCTTTTTGCAAAAAGCCGCTCCACGGTGGTAAAGTCTCATCTTGTGTGTTGGCCGAAGTTACAATAGTCACATTGAACCCTCGAATATGTTCGAGGATCTCGAAATGATCTTCCAGCTCTGGGGAGAATTCGCAAAACTCCGTTTCTATCGAGAATTGAATGGAGTTTTCCCGTATTTCGACGGGAGAATCTAAGAGAGACATTACTGTCGAGATTCTGACCGAAAAATTAGACATTCTATGCCCTCGGAGAGTGCTTTGTCGTGCTAGGTCACTGACATATCCTTTTTTGTCTTTATTTGACCCCAAGAATGGATTGGATCGAAACGGCTTTCCTGTCGAACCCCTTTGTGTCTGTATGAATTTCTGACCGCACGGAATCTCCATAGCCAATTTTCCATTTTTTATGATGAAATCAGAAGGTGCCTTTGGTACTACTCTTATTTTACACAATCCAGAAACTTCCATAACGTTGGTGTGATTCGGTTTGAGCAACGGATCTTGACGTGATACATCTTCGTAATGAAAATAGAGTGGAAACATGAGTTGGCTTTTACAGTATCTATAGAATAAGCACTGTGAACTATCTGCTTCAAAAAGATAGTTGTAAGAAATGAAGTAATAACTATTTTTTTCCTTATTTTATTCGTCCCTTTTGGACCTCGATCATTAACTTCATTGTATCTTTGAAAAAAGTAAAATGTTCCCCGGTCCGGGAGAGTTCTAATAAAATAGTGGACCAGTTGGGCATCTCACCAAAATTCCCTTGAGGCGGCCCAAATCTTTTTTCATAGATTTGTTTGACCACCCAATTCCATCGATTGGAATGTTCAGTCGATACATGCGCAGTCATGTCCGAGGCCACTATAAATTCTATTATGAGCTCTCGGACACTCTGGACCAAAAAATTCTGGCAAGTGGATGAAACTTCTCTTTTTTTTTTCTTTTGTTTTCTTCATCATCCCCTCCCGAGGATCCGCCAGCTGCCCCACCTATTGTAGTGGTTGAAAGATAGGAACGTTTCTTGGCAGCCGGCGAATTAATCATATTCATAATAATGATACCAGCCGCAGCTCCCGCTAAAGCAATTGTAGCAGCTCCGGCACCTATTAATTTAGCACCTTCTAACATACTTCTTCTCCTTTTCTCTCGTCACGCTTTTTCATTCACTTTCCTTATGTTATGGGGATTCTATTTTCGATTATGTGTAGGGTATTCTTTTTTATTATGTGTAGGGTATTCTTTTTTATTATGTGTAGGGTATTCTTTTTCGATTCTTATCCTACTTACTTTTCTCTTTTTTCTTGGAATGAAGTTGCTCGCATTCTAATTAGAACAAGAAGGAGAGGAATGGAAAAAATTCTTTTCGATCTTCTACCCGGTAGACTAAACACCAAGCCAATCTCGACAAAAAAAGTACAAGCAATCAACTGGGAGAGACTGCCTCTTCGCGAGGTATACAATATGCTCGAACAAAGTGAGAGGGGGAGAGTTCGCATATAGAAACTGAGAGGGAGAAGGTGCGAAGTTGCTCGCATTTTAATTAGAACAAGAAGGAGAGGTTTATCATATGTTCGACCGTAGGGAGAAGGTGCGAAGTTGCTCGCATTTTAATTAGAACAAGAAGGAGAGGTTTATCATATGTTCGACCGTAGGGAGAAGGGCGAAGGGAGAAGGGAAAGGAAAGGTTCCCCTTATTTTTTCTTCTCTTATGAAATTTCGAGTTAGAGAGAGGGCGATAGACTTCTACCCAATATGAGATAGATTGCAGCTATAGTCAGAACTCCAAATGGGCCTATTGCCTAATGTTGACCTGAGGTAGCGAACGAGATAGCAAATGGATGGAAATTATCTTCTCCACTTAATGGCTGCTGTTTCTAGCTCAGGCGCTCTTAATTTCGAATTGGTAGGATTTTTGGACTTGCTGGCCCTGCCCTTTTCTTTCTTGCAACATGGCATCCCTTGCTTAGTTCTGCAAGCTCCTTTCTTTGTTGAGCTCTGTCATACCGCTCTTCTATCTCTTTTATTGGCGCAATCTTCTTTGAATTCAATATTCAATTTACTTTTATTCAAGATATCTCCTCCCTTTAATCTAATAAGTATATTACTTTTCAGTAAGGAAGGTAAACAGGAGTTAATGGCAGGCGCAATAGAAAGGCACTTGGAGGCATAGATAGGCTTAGATCAGATGCAAGCAAGCTCAGTCTCAATATGTGCATTAGAGAAGGGGGGAATTCGAGGGAGGTTGGCGCTTCGGTCAAGAGGCAAATCTCTTTTGTTTGGGCCGGTAGCTAAAAGAAAGTCCTCGCTTCCGGGAAGGGCAACATAACATTAGCTTCAATTGAAAAAGCTCAACCTTGAAAAAGAAAGTGCTTCTATCGAAGAGGCCCACGCTTCTTGTGTTGAAGTAAGTACACCGGTGACATATATAAGATCAATGGTCTTCTTCCTTATTTCCTAAGAAGAAAGTTCGTCAAAGTGCGTCGGCTCGGAAGTAGAAGCTGAAGATAAAGAGGAAGTATCGAGGTCGAAGCGACCAAGAATTCTTCTGGACCTGAATCGCCCCCCGGAGCCGGAGACTTAAAATAAACTACCACCTCATCTGGTTAACGAAATAAAAGATAGCATTAAGACCTTTGACCTAATAAAACATAAGCGCGAGGAAGAACGTGCGTTGACCCCTATTTGATTTGAGATTAAGGCTGGAAAAAAGAATTCTAAATTCCATACATAATATACAACATAGGCGATGACTTAGCCCCGCATGGGATCTACATCCCCACCTCTGACACAACGGGTCAATGGACTAATATAATAAAAGGAATTCTACAGAGCCAAAAGAAAGTCCAGAAGTTCACTTCAAACCTTATTGCTACAATTATCAGATCCTGCTGCGCGCAGATCCATCCTTGACAGGACGAACCCTTTCTTTTCTTATCTTCCTCTTCCCGTAAGCCCCAGCGCTAGTAGTTCTCATCTCATTCCGTTTCGTTTGTGGTTCACCTTCATATTTTTCGTGGTAAAGTTTCACTCATTCCCCGAATCCATCGGCACCCAGCCAAAAGATGAGAGAGAAGGGGGTCCCTGCCCCACTATCCAAGTTAGCTCCTCCATACCACCGACAGTGGATTTATTTGCTTTCATCCAAATCTATTCCCTAATCCACATCGCTATATCCTTAGAAGACTTTATCTTTTCCATACACCAGATCAAGATCAATGCGCGAGAGACTTAATTCTACTTAGCGATGTATTCCAAAGCAAAAACCGGGCTTACTAGTAAATCTACTACTCACACTTATGGCATAAGCCATGTCCGGGCGAGTGCACGTCATTGCATACATTAGGTTTCCAACCACAAGGGCATCTGGGAATTCACCTATCCTTTCTTTATATTCTGCATTTATTTTACACATCTCGGAAGAGAGTCACAAGGATCGAAAGGACTACTAACCGCTTTATGATCATACGCATCATGGTGCTTTATAAGATAATATATCTAAGATTGGAGAGCTTTATGGTTTTATTTTATCTATCCCTTCCAATCGGGATTCCTAGAATAACATCGGCTTCGAACTCAAAGTGTTCACTTTTCATAGGGCATGTTTCCTGATTCACTTGCTATGGCATTCCCACCTCTCATTATTTATACTTTTTCAATATGACACCCGAAGGACCCACCACCCTTCTTTCCTGCTTTACCCTGCCCGACTACTTCATTGCGATGAAAATGGTCCCCACTGGAATATGGAAGTGGGAGAATGCTCATATGAGAACATACGGCCAGCCTTTGTTGCCAGGTCTTTTCCTTGTTTTGTGTTAATGCCTTTCTCCAAACATCATCTGCGTAATCAAGGATCTGAATCCACTGAAGCATCCAAATCCGTATCCCTATCCCCTTCCTCAAAAACGGAATCTAGGGCCGAGGGGAATCTTTTCAGCTTCAATCGACTGGCCGAATAGATCGACCACCTTCCGCGCCTACCTCTCTTGGTTGCCTGCTTTTAGGGCTATAACACCAA